CAAGTATTTAGCACACAAGAACCACCATTGCCGGCCTGATCACATGAGATGGCAGACAACTACACAGAGAAAAAAAACACATTTTAGATCACAGCACCTCCCAGAACAGGTAATTCAAATACTGTGGGATTATCGACGTCTGGGCTGAACTGGTAGTAGAACAAAGGTGCTCAAGTACCAGATCTGAAAGTGCTGCTAACCTATTATTTTCAGCGACAAGCACCGCTACTTTTTAATAACCAAAGCAAGGCAACAGACTAAATCTCCTGTCACACACAGGAAAGAAAACTGTACTGAGAAAGCACTACAGTTGGATCTTATATATGTAATATTTGTCATGTCTTTACAAATATGAAAAGGCTATTAGTGTACACGATTCACACAAAAAGGTTTTTTTTCTGTACAATTCGGTCAAATTTAGACCAAATAATATATATGAAAATGTTTTCTCAAAAGTGCATATTAAGACACTCAAAGGGCCTCGCAAAATTTATTAACAGTCAACTGAACTGCTTTATTATAGTGTTAATGCCTTTCCAAAGATGAAAATGCTATTAATGTATACAATTCACAAAAAAAAAAAAATTCGGACAAATTACTTTCCTGTCACAAGCAGCAAAGGAAACGGTAAAGTAAAACCACCACAGATGGACTTCATGCTGCATATCTAACATTCTTCATATTTTTACAAATATGAAAAGGCTATTAATGTACACAAATCACAATTTTTTTCTTTTACTGTACAATTTCATCAAATATAGAGCAAATAATGGTCACACTTTATTTAAGGTCCAGTTCTCACTATTAACTATGACTTTTGCCTCAATAAACTCCCAATTTGCGGTTTATTAATATTTAGTAAGGTAGCTGTTAAGTTTAGGTATGGGGTAAGGTTAAGAGATCTAAAACACGGTCATGCTAAATAAGGCATTAATAAATGCTTTATAAGTACTAATAAACAGCCAACATGTTAGTAATATGCATGCTACTTAAAGGGATACTCCAGCCCAAAATGAAAATTTTGTCATTAATCACTTACCCCCATGTCATTCCAAACCCGTAAAAGCTTCGTTCGTCTTCGGAACACAATTTAAGATATTTTGGATGAAAACCGGGAGGCTTGTGACTGTCCCATCCACTGCCAAGTAACAGGATACGTTTTCTACGTGTATTTACGCTTTGATTTGAACAAAAACAGCGCATCCGTGCAGCGTGGCTGACACAGAAGAGCGTATGCTGCTTGCGTTCAGCGCATAATCTCCAAAATGGCGCTACGGTGATGCGGAGAGACACAGAGGAGACAAATTGTTGAATAAAGTCATTATTTTTGTTTTCTTCGCATACAAAAAGTATCCTCGTCGCTTCATAACGTTACGGTTGAACCACTGATGGCAGATGGACTATTCTGACGATGTCTTTCATACTTTTCTGGACCTTGACAGTGTAATTTACTTGGCAGTGAATGGGACAGTCACAAGCCTCCTGGTTTTCATCCAAAATATCTTAAATTGTGTTCCGAAGACGAATTAAGCTTTTACGGGTTTGGAACGACATGGGGGTAAGTGATTAATGACAACATTTTCAATTTGGGGTGGAGTAACCCTTTAATAGTGATAATTGTTCCTTAAATGATGTGTTATTACATATCCAAAAATGTTTTTTGTTGCATAATTTATTATCTGTCTAAACTGTGAAATAATAAAAATACAAGAGTCAATTTAAGTACTTCACTATATTCTTTATGAATGTGAAAAAGCTACTAATTTTCACAAAAGTGTTTTTATTTTTATTTTTTTATTTTTTTTTGTAAAATTTCGGTCAAATTCAGACCAAATGTTTTTGGTTTCCTCAAAGTGCAAATCAAAAACAATCAAAGGCAGTGCGCCGACATGTAGCGCCGTTGTGCTTCGGGCATCCCGAGTTTGAGTCCCGGCTCACGGACCTTTCCCGATCCCGCCCCCCTCCCTTTCTGACCCCCACTGTGACTTCACTTCCTGTCACTATAATGTCCTATCGAAATAAAGGCATAAAACGCCAAAATAAAATCTTAAAAATAAAAATAAAAAAATCAAAGGGCCTCGCAGAATTTATTATCAGTCTAAATTGTGAAATTAGACAAATACAAGAGTCAATTGACGTGCTTTACTTTGAGACTAAATTTGGAGAGACCACATGCAAATATGTGTGTTGTTTTGGGGCCTCATATATAGTTGGCTTGGTTTTGAAGTGGTCAGGCTCTGAGTCTGTGTGAATGTGTGGGGTGGGCTCCACAGAGACGCTGTTGTTCTTATTCATCTTTCATGTCAGCTTTAAAACCATGCCTAAAAGTAGTTTTCCCGCATTTTCACAGACACATGGAGACATTCCTGCTCACTTTTTAGGGACTTTCCCCATTCTTTCGAATCCAGCCAGGTGTCAGTCAGACAGTTATTATTAAAACAGTCAAAATACAGGTGCTCCGTGCTCGATTCATTAAGTGATGTTTAATGAAAACACTCCATCTGCAAGTGATGAATCTCCTTAAAAATATTCAAATGCATCCCTGTACTCGTCCAATAAATTATTAACCAAGATTACAAGTTATCTGTTAATTATCTATTAGAGTAAGAAAAGTGGATGACGGCACATCCAACTATGAGTATAACGTCTGGCAGCCTAATCTGCTAAAACTCTTCACAGGCGTACAGTAGAAGATCTCAAAGATATAGCAGCACCATTCATACAGTAACCACACAGAGAAACCGAAAACGCAACAGATTATGCTCGTATGGTGTTTAGGTACACAGTGTACCGCAGCCGGCCCATGTGCCCCTCATTAAAGATATCAAACACATTTTAAAGTCATCACAGGGGCCCAACACAGGTCCAGACAAGAGACTCTGCTCACATCTTGATGGTGGCAGAACTGCCTGCGTCAATCGCTAATCTCTCCACATTGACGCACGAAAACTCGGGACCACACACCAAGTGAGGTACACTTACACCTCACCTGCATTCGCAAACCTCAGAGCCACGTGGTGACAGGAGGAGGCAGGTGACACTGGCAAACAAAAAGGTGGGGATATTTGAGACAAAAAGGTCTGTTTGGAGTCACAGGAAATTATAATTAAGATGACTTTATTCCACTGTCTGGTGTGGTTTTTGCAGGGTAATATGAGACATCTGATTCACAGAGGCATCAATTAAGCATAAATCAGTGAAGTTAATCAGAACAAAACAAGAAATTAACTAATTTAAAACATTCTGAAAAATAAGATTTGAATAGAAAAGACACAAAAGTAGCAAGAGAGAAAACAAGTTGATAAATAGCTTTCATGACATCATCAAAGCCTGAACTCGCCTGATGCCAGTTCTTATCAGCCTGGGAGACAGATAGATAGATAGATAGAGAGAGAGAGAGAGAGAGAGAGAGAGAGAGAGAGAGAGAGAGAGAGAGGGGGAGAGAGAGGAGGGAGCGAGGGAGAGCACTGAAAATTTAGTCACCACATCAGAATATGCCCAGCTGTGTGTGTGGTCCTTTTATGTTCAACACTATATGTCTGAACCCTAATTGAATAAACGATTTTCCTAGAACACAACATAATCAAACAGCAAAACATCTGACATGCAAGGAGTCTGGCAATGTTTTGACTATTACAGATTAATGATACACAAAAGCTGAATAGCATTTCAAAGCTTACTGCAACACATGCACATATATAGTATTCTACATTTTGCTTTAATTTACGTTTATATTAGCATCTTTGACAAAAAAAATATTTTAACATGAACGTTATTTATTAAAAATATGACAAATCTTCTATACTTTTAACGTAGAAAACCTAATCGATCTAAAAAGCTCGTTTTCATGTTATTATCGAATGATATCGATTTTTAAATGACTCGGAATGTTTATGAAGATTTATAAATGGTTACTGGTAAGAGGACATTTAAAGTTCGTTCGGAAAATAGGTCAGCGATTTTTTTTATAGCTAAGCTTTGCGACCTCAGTTCATAAATACATAAACTCTTAATCAATAATTTATATAATCATGGGTCTGTTGTTTAAGCCTAACCAAACGCGACAAATGCACTTCATACTCCTACAACAAGAACACTACAAATAACTAAAGATTTCTGACTTTGACAACTAATCAATTTTAAAAACTAATACCACAACATTAAACCAAAACAACTGCAGAGCAAACAGAATATTTACGTTCCCACCTGCGTTTAAACGCTCATTTGATCCATATTTCTGTAGAACACAAGTTAACGTTATGTGAAGAAAAAAACAAGACAGAGTGAAATGGCATTAATTTGTTGTAATGAGCCATTTAGTCAGGCTCTGTAACTGAATAACCAAATAAACCGTCTTTTCTAGAGTCTCACATCTATATTTCCCCCCAAAAAACACGTTCATCTGTTCGTGTTTGTTTCTTGTTTTGTGTTTAATTGTTCCTGTCTGGCGCAGGTTTAGCAGCCAATTCCGTCTTCACTTTAAACTTACCTACTAAGCTGAACTTTGCGTTTGCTAACTTCATAAACTTCTAAAGTCACATAAAAAGTGCTAGTAAACAATAAACGAGGTGAAATCTAACAAGGAAGGCAGTCTAACTCCTCTCTCGTTACTAAGCAATAACGTCTCGGTCCAGCACAGCGCCACCCGTGTAGCGCGACACTTCTAAACACAAAATTATTTCCACAAACATACTATCTAAATCTCTTCGGCACAAACTATTCCCAAAACATCCTGGAGATGGAAAGGAGCGGGAAAGAATCGAGAAACCTAAGGGCTCCCGTTGCCAAAGTGGCCGCATCCACCTTGACCGTGATGGTTGATCGATGGGAATTGAACAAAGAGGATCAATTTCCGATCAGCGCGAGAGCCGCTTTAATCAATGGGCACCGAACCCGGCGAAAGAGCCGACGCGAGAGCAACGCGCCGGCCTCTCAGCGCGACGCTCCCCGGGACCGGCTCACCGGCACACACCGCGAATACAAAGCGAAAGGGAGCTGACCTGGAGCTGCTGCAAATCAAAGCGTTTCCAATATTGAAACATGGATCCCGCATTGGCCGCCATCTTGAGACATATTGAGACGGAATGAAAGGCTGATAGAGAGAGCGCGAGAGGGGCTGGAGTTCAGCGAGAGAGAGAGCACGAGAGAGAGAGAGAGAGAGGCGGGGGACCGCGCGCAAAACACGGAGCGGAGCAGATCGAACGGCGCGGGCGCGCGAGGAACGGAGTTATCGAACGAACGCCGACCTGCGATATTGAATAGGACTGCTGAAAACAATTATTGAGAGCGTCCTCAATAAAAGGCAGAAAACGCGGGATGGAGTTTCCGCGTTGAGTCGAGCTCCCCGTGGCGCAGGAACGGGAGGGGGATGCTGGATACGTTTTCATCCGTTAAAAGAAGAGAGTTTATACGGTTATTGATTTTTTATTATCACTATAGATAGATATTACGAGACGCTGATCAGATCTGACGCGACCATGCGAGCAACGCGAACGCAACGCGCCGCTTGAGTGGTTTTATGTTTCTCATGGTCAGATGAAGAACCTTCTGGCCTGTTGTTGTGATCGTACACCCGATATATTGATTTCTGATTTGTTTTTATTTTTAATCCTGTTGAAAATATATCATATGTTCTTGCGTGTACGCAGTTGTCTTATAATGTTTTTGCTGTTGGTCGTCTATATGTCCAGCAACCCTCTGTTTGTACTCAAAAACCAATACATATATTATATTGATTTTATGGGCATTCTTGCGTGAAGAATGTGGATACGGCGATCGATAGCTTAAATCAAATGAAACACAATCTAACCGTTCTCCATATAAATACTGCATGAAGCGACATGCATTTTAAATGGTTATGGACGGTGTTTAAGATGGTGGCATTAGATAATTTGATGTTATAACATAAACCCTTGTCCGGTCGATTCCTGATGAATTGCAAATACTGCTTTTGAACTTGAACTTGGAGAGCAGCGACCTCTATTGGATGTGTGTAGTATCGTCTCACCTCATTGTTTATGATACATGGTGATGATCCAAAGTAATCGTATTAATTGTCACAATTAATGATGATAACAAATCATTGTTTAGCCAACAGTGTTAATTGCTGGACAGTGATTACGATGATTACATAAATACATAATTTATTAAGTAGAATTATTAATATTATTATTATTATTATTATAAAATTAGTGGTAAAAATTAAATACTACTTAGCTAGTGATTATACTATTAAATGAAATTA